GCAGCCCCAGTCCTGTGGGGGAACAGGAGCTTTGCCACCACGCTGGGCACTGTGTCTCCTCCTCGCAGGCGCTGAAGCTGCCGCACGTGGAGTACGTCGAGGAGGATGCCTACGTCTTTGCCCAGAGCATCCCCTGGAACCTGGGCAGGATCGTGCCGCCGCAGCCTGGTTCGAGTGCCTACAGCCCTCCCAGTAAGTGCTGGGGTGTGTGTGGAGGATCACAGGGGTTCAGTGACCCCCATCCCCTCTCCTGATCTCAAAGGGATGGGGATATCCCCCTGCTCCATGTTGCTGAGGGTCTGGACCTGGATTTGGGACCATCCCAGGTGGCCGGGGCTGACCATGGCCCTGATTGTCTTTTACACCTGGCCATGTCCATGGTAGATAAAGGTGACCTAGTGGAGATTTACTTGCTGGACACCAGTGTGCAGAGCACCCATCGGGAGATTGAGGGCAAGGTGCTTGTCACTGACTTCGAGAGTGTCCCCGAGGAGGACGGCACCCGCTTCCACAGGCAGGTGAGCCCTGAGGTGCTGCATGCTGGCAAGAGTATCCTCCTGCACCCACCAAACCCTGGCCAGGCTTGTGGGTCTTCCCAGGATGGGAGTCACTCAGCTCATGGCAAAATGCCAGGCAGGACATGCAGCAGTGGGAGCTGTGGCGCTGTGCGATGTTGGGACCCTCAATGTGGTCTGTCTGGAGCTGTGGCTGACTGGGGCAGGGCTCCTTTTTTGGGAAAGCAGGCTGGGGAGGGGCACGGGTGCGTGTCAGGGTGTCATTGCAAGAGAGAATCGAGGTCCACCCCACACCCAGGGCTGGGACAGCTGCCTGCACCCTGCAGTGAGTGCTAGGGCTGCCTTGTGTGGCTTTACTGCTGCTTGCGTAGAGGAGCCCAGTGCTAGCACAGCCCCGAGGAAGGCTGCCTGCATCCCCTGTCCTTTCTGCCCACTTTCTCCTTCTGCATAGGGTGATTTTTTTATCTCTCCTCCTGGAATATTTTCAAGGATTTTTTTCTGCAGCGGGATTTAGCTGGTGCCAAGCACAAGGGGTGAGGTGGGATGGGGAGGACTCTGTGGGGTTGCAAACTTGCTTCGATGCAGTGGGCCAGGGGAGTAAATCTGTGGTGCCTGTGCCAGGCCAGCAAGTGTGACAGCCATGGGACCCACATGGCCGGGGTGCTGAGCGGGCGTGATGCCGGCGTGGCCACGGGCGCCAACATCCGCAGCCTTCGTGTGCTGAACTGCCAGGGGAAGGGCACCGTCAGCAGGACCCTCATCGGTGAGTCACCCCACGCCCTGGAGAGGAGCACGCTCCCTCCTGCAGCACCCCACCTTGTCCCTCTCTTGCGAGAGTGTCCCATCCCTCATCTCTTCCCCTCCCAGGCCTGGAGTTTATCAAGGCGACGCTGGAGGCTCAGCCCTACGTGCCACTGGTGGTGCTGCTGCCCTTTGCCGGTGCCTACAGCCGCGTGCTGAACGCTGGCTGTCGGCGGATGGCGCAGATGGGGGCGGTGATGGTTGCGGCTGCTGGTAACTACAAGGACGATGCCTGCCTGTACTCGCCAGCCTCCGAGCCAGAGGTGCGGGCTGGGGGTGTTCCCTGAGGCTTGGGGACACGCAGGGACATGCTGCTACCTCCGCAGGCTCATCTGCTCCAGTGCCAAGTTGGCTGAGCAGGCTGGGGCTGCACATCCCATCCTACCCATGTCACCCTCTGTCACCACCCTGGCAGGTCATCACGGTCGGTGCCACCAACAATGAGGACCAACCCGCTTCCATCGGCACCCTGGGCACCAACTTTGGCCGTTGCGTGGACCTGTTCGCCCCGGGGGATGACATCATTGGCGCCTCCAGTGACTGCAGCACGTGCTTCACAGCACAGAGCGGGACGTCGCAGGCGGCGCAGGCGGCTGCACACGTGGCAGGTGAGCTGGGCTCCGGGGTGTTGGGCAGGGCTGGCTCTCCACTTGCCCCAAGCAGTGCTGGCACTGGGCACATGTCCCTGCAGGCACAGGGCATCATGGCTGCCTGTGCTGGGGACATTTTTGCATGCCATGGTGCCATGATTTTGGCACATTTGGGTGCTGCAACCTGCACAGAGCTTTCACATCCCATGTGTCCAGATGATGGGCTGCAGTGATTCCTTCTCCTGTCTCTCTGGAGTTGCATCACTCTAGGGAGTCATGTGTAGGTGGCTGCGCAGCCCCTGGTTCTCACTGCAGCCCCCTGGGCTTTCGGCAGGCATTGCTGCCATGCTGCTCAGCGCTGAGCCCCAGCTGAGCCTCGCCGAGCTCCGGCAGCGCCTCCTGCACTTTGCCGTCAAGAATGTCATGGACATGGTGTGGTTCCCTGAGGAGCAGCGGCTCCAGACGCCCAACAGTGTGGCTGGGCTACCTGCCCAGCTGGGCACAGGTAAAGACCTCGGCTACCTGCTGGGTGCTGGGGCAAAGGGAGTAGGGGGAGAGAGACCCACCAGCCCTCATTGGCAGCTTGGTCCATGCCATGGGCTCTGGGTGTCCACCCCGCCGCTGATGCTGTCTGCCCCATTGCAGATGAGCAGCTGTACTGCCGCTCGGTGTGGTCGGCGCGCTCGGGGCTCACCCGGCACGCCACGGCCGTGGCTCGCTGTGCTGGTGCCGAGGAGATGCTCAGCTGCTCCAGCTTGTCCCGCAGCGGCAGGCGGCTGGGGGAGCACATGGAGGTGAGCAGGGTGT